CCTAGGAGCCTTGGTAGCTTTTATCAAAGAGAAAGAGACCAGGGAGAGACCAGAATGTGATGTAACTGAAACTAACTTGGAACCATTCTTGCAGATGGCCACTCTGGACTGGTTATCCCGGGAGGGACATCATTCACATCCAAATTTGAAGTTAGCAACAGCACAGGCTGCTAAGACAGGTTCTGGATGCAGGTAAGGTAAAGACCTAGGCTGAAGCAGAAGGTAAACCCTGGTGCTGACCTCTAGAGGAACTCGAAGCTTAGTTTTGGTGGGATAGGGGAGCTACTGGGGACATCAGCTAAAGGTTACCATCCTTCAAGGATAGCAGTCATTTCTCCTTACTCTGGAGCCAACAAAAGGGTTACGTGCCCTGTAGACCTGTCATATGGAAACCAACTGACTGGATTAGGATTTGCTTTCTGCAAGCTGGGCATCATGTCACTGGATCATAATTTTCCAATATAAATATTAAGAAAATTAGTTATAGAACATTTGCAAATCACCTAAGGAGCCCTGAGGGATGGTGCTGTTCAAACAGCAGCCACAGTCTTGTGAAGTGAGAGACAGGGAGTCCTTAAATGTACAGAAATGAGGGCCACATGCCAGAAGTGCTAGGTGTCATTATCCTGGCTTCCGTATCCCTGGTCAAGAGAATCCTTTAGTTGCTGTATTCTATATTTACATGTAGGCTGCAAATGAAAAAAAAATTTTTTTTCTACAACTCTAAATACTCTCTCTACTACAGAGAATGGTGACTGAAGCAAAAGTAAAAAATAGCTGCTCACATCACAATTGGAGAAAATCTAAATCTGAAAATGATCGTTTTTATTTGCCTGCTACCAAGTAAGGACACTGGGGGAGCAATGAGTCACCAGTGTCCTCAGATTTACCAGAGTCCAGCAGGAGGCGAGGGCATTCTTTCAGATGAGTTGTAGACGTTCTAAAATTGACATTAAACTTTACCCCTAATGAGTGGCCCCTAGGGCCTACCTGAGAAATGGGCCGAACCACTTCCAGAACCTTTCCAATAGCACTCCAGGGAATGATCTCAGTGCTTTCAGACTCTGAAATATATGGGAACCATGCCTCACCATCTGCAGAATACCCGAGGCTGTTAGAAGTACTTTCACCTACATTATCCCCATTGATCACATCTGATTCTCACAAAGTCTTCGAGGCAAGGTGTTTGTAAGTGTGTGATTGTCATATTAGAGCATCACTGAACTTTGGCTCTTTTTGTAGAAACAAGATGAATCACTACCCAGGAAGGGGGGAAGACAAAGGAAACTAGGAGATTTCCAGACTTAAGCTCCCTGTTAACATGTCACATGGCCCCTATAGCAACCACTGCTCTTAAAGTGCCAAGCCCCAGCAGAGAGGTGTAGGAGCTACTTGCAATCCAAGCATGTTTGCCTCTCTGCTATGCTTTTCAAAGACAGTTTAAAGAGAGTTAGGGGGATGTTCTGGTCTTTTGTTTGGAAATCTTCTCTGCTTGTCGTCTAGTTGTCTGCAGACTGCGAGATCGGTCTATTTGCTTTCAACAGATGTAACAACCTTTAAAACAAGCAGGATGCTAGGATGGCTGACTTCTTTTGGATGTGCAAAGATGTTTACCAAGCTTCTCATCTCTGACTTGAAAATTCTGCCATCTCAGTTGGCATGACACACCAAGAGTTTACCAGGGACTGCTGTCTGTTGGAAGATGTTTCAGAAGGTAGCATAAGAAAAATGTCTCTGCTCTACAGTGCAGTCTGGCTAGCTGCTTCTCCCCCAAGGATTCTCCACGAGCCGTACAAGGAAATCTGTATTATTCAAATTCCCCTGGGCAAACTGCCTCTGAGAGGCCACTGAGGAGTCCCCAAAGATGGAAGACATTCTTCCCTCGTATGTCCCAGTAGCCAAGCTGGCCCCGGATCAGAGGGCTCTCTCAAGTTCTGCACCCCAGGACAAATGTTCTCTGGAGGGCTGTGAATAAGTGCAATACGTTTTACATAGTAACTTATCATAGCAAATTGAGGAAATCAATGAATGAGGACGGCACCAGCGTTTCCCACTTCACTGTGCTAGGGGATGGAGTAAAAGGAGAAGGAAAGGATTTGCATTAAGCCAGAAAGCTTGCGCCTCTGTCTAAATTCTCACCCATCTTTGTGCCACAAATTTCACTGGGAACCGCGGCTCCTGCCAGAAAGCACCCCAGGGGCGAGCAGCTCAGGGAGCACTGGCCGCAGACCTTCTGCTCCTGCCTCCATCTCTAAGTGTTTGTGCATCTTTGGGAGGCATTCCTCTTCCATCTGCAAAATGAGAGGGCTGGACCAAGTAGTCTCCAAGGTCTCTAACAACTTGGAAAAATTAGGATCCTTTTAGTCAGGGGGAGCAGGGAGGTTGTGAAGCAAGACGAGATTAACCCGGTTAGTTGTAAAAGACCAGCCCTCCGGAGAGGGTGTGAAAACAACCCTTTCGATCGGCTGGAAAACTACAGGGAAAGAGAAAACCGAGTGTCATGAGAGGCAACATAAAATGGGGCACATGTAAGAAAGCTCACATCTGAAGCAGAAGAGTCAGGCTTTTGAACCGAAGCAGTGCCCTATTCCGTTCTACAATCTCCCCGCGATAATGCAGCACCTTTGCACACAATTAAATGTCAGCCACAGAAAACATTTTCCTTCGCTTTGTTGTTCCAGAACGGGATTCTTTTGTCCTCAATATAATGGATATGCAGAAACAATGATAGAACAGAGATTTTTTTTCTAAACCGATGACAAACACACTGCTGCTTTCTCCCTCCCTCCCTCTCTCCCTCCCTCCTTCCTCCTAATCCCCACCCTCCAAAATAAATCATTGTTCCAAAAAAAAAAAAATCTCATTGTCTATTGTCCGCGGAGATCAAAATCTGCCTAGGAACAGCGCGGGCGGGCGGGCGCCGCAGCGCGCGGAGCCGCCGGTAGGTGGCGCACGAAGGCAGCGCAGGAGGGTAGCCCGCCGCCCCCTCTCGCCGCCGCCGCCGCCGCCGCCGCCGCCCGCCCCCTCCTCGCGTGCTAACCGCTGGATCCTCTGCCGGGACTTCGGTTCTGGGGAGCGAGGACGGGGACGGGAGGCGGGGAATCCAGATCCGTACACACAAAGCCTCCGGGGGCTGGGCGGTCGGGAGCGGGGCGCCCTCCCCCGGCGCGGAGCCACCCGCGGGCCGTGGGGGGACCCGGCGGACGCCCCGCGCCGCCCCGCCCCGCCCCGCCGCTCCTTCCCCGGTCCGCGCACCGGCTCCCCTGTGCCGGGCCCGCGCGCCTCGCCGCCTCCGAGCACTTGCCGCCTCCGAGCACTTGCCGCCAGGGTGGACGCGCCACGGGGTCGCGCTCCCGACCTCTGGTGGAACAGGGCGATCGGAGTCCCCGAGTGAGAGGCCCGGGTGGACGAGAGCTCCTGTACCGGTACCGGGGCTTTGTGACCTTGAGGAGGTTACTCCGTTCTCCAGGCCCCGCTCCCCAGCTCTCCGAGGCGGGCTATAAAACTCAGCTCACGGGGATGCTGAGAGGATTGTTTCAAAGTGGTGCTTAACTTAGCAGCAGGCCTGGTGGAGAAACTGTCCTCATTAACAAGCCGGCGCGCGGTGGAGGAGGAGGGAGACGCGCGCTTCGCCCCCAGAACTGGCCTCCGGGTTAGGGGAGGAGGCAGGATCCCAGCTGCCAGCAGGACGTCCCCTCTGCCCCCTGCCCCAGCCCTCCTCCCCGCCTCCTGCCTGCCCTGCCCTGCCAGGGCCGCCTTGAGGCCTCCTCCTCTCCTTCCTCTCCCTGCGATTGATTCATTCTCTAGCGATTTATGCCCACTTCTCTGTTGGGACGCTCAGAGTTGCTTCAGACTCATCCGGTTGGAATCCTGACTCCCCCACTTGCTAGCAGAGAAGCTGGGCAAGTCTTTTAGCCTCTCTCTAAAATCTGGATTGGAGGCCATGTATATAAACGGCCTGGCAAGCACTGTCTCTTCAGTAAATTTAAAATTTTAAATTAGATGTAACTTTTTTTGATGGTGGGGGTACTGGGGATTGAACCCAGGGCTTTCACTTTGAGCTACATCCTGCCCTGCCTCAGCCTCCCAGAGTGGTAGGATTACAGGCATCCACCACCAACCTTGGCATACATTGGACTATTTTGCAGAAAACAACAGAAGTTCTCTGGGATTTCCACAGGTATCCACCAAAGGTAAAACCAACAACTGCTAACAATTAGCCTCCCTACTCCCATCTGAGTCAGCAAGGTTATTTCCCCTCCAGGAAAAGAGCAGAAATCCAGTGAGGCCGCATTCTCCCCAGAGCTTCTCAAGTATAACTCAGACGCTTAAACAGCCTTATTAACTCTTTGGGGCCACCGCATGCCCACTTTAGAGCAGTCCTCCAAGAGGAAGACTCTTGCAGGGTGGGGCTGGCTTTGAAGTTGCATTCTAAGCCATGACTTGCACCTGACTGATTGGGGACCCCGAACTCCCTCACATGTTCTCTGCACCCCAAGCACAAGTGCAGCAGCTGGAGGGTACCACGGAGTGCCACCTGCCTGGCAGGTAGAAATCAGGAGCTCTCGCCCTTGCCTAAAAGGGGCTCAAGCATTTCCTTGGGCAGCAGACTTGTGGAGTACTTGGAATTCAGGTTTTGGGCTGGTGGATTCCCATAGTCACTTCCTGTGGCAGAGGCAATAGTAGGCAGCTGTGGTGACCCTGAGCAGCTCTGGCCCCTTGGTGCCCATGTCTTTGTCCATTTCTCCCCCTTTCCCTATTAAGCAAGACTAACGCATCCAGCCCAGTGAATATTGCAAAGTGACAGTGTGACTTCAAGGCTAGCACATACAAGAAGACGCCATGGCTTCTTCCTTGCTCTCTCTTGAATGGCCCATTATGGAGAAAGATGAGTACCTCATCAGCGGAGCACCCTGTCATGAGAACCCTCAGGCAGCCAAATGGAGCGGGCAAGGTATCCAGAGTTGGTGGCCTCCTGCCATCGGCCACGAGCTACTCACCAGCCTCAACAGTGAGCCATCGTGGAAGCAGGTCCTTTAATGTCAGTCATGCCTCCCATGTCACTGTAGCCCGGCCAACATCTTGGCATCACGGAGATCCTGGACCACGTACATACAGTTAAGGCACCCCTAAATTCCTGAGCCACAGGAAAACTGTGAGATACAAAGGGGGGAAAATGGGCGTGTTTAATGCACTACAGATGACTAACACAGCAACACTCAAAAGAGCCACAAGGCTTCTGGTGGCCAGAGTTTGTCTGGCCTCTAAAATCCCCTCCCTGACTGCCCCAGAAAGGCTGTAAACTGCCAAGGATCTCAGAGACACTTCTCGGGTGTCACAGAGCAGTACTGAGCCAGCAGCAGCCCTGACGTTTGTTTGCAGAGAGGGTGGAGTAAGAGCCCTGCGGTCTTTCCCTGGCCGCACCTTCTCCGCAGAATCACTCAGCCCTGGTGCAGAATTGCCAGCACCCTCACCGCTTTGGGTTGTTGTGCGTGTATCTGCCCCTGTGTGCTGGTTTCAGCAGGACAAAGGGAAGTGTGAGGGGCAAAGTGGGCAGTCTTCACGGTAGATGCAGGTGGGTGGCGGCAGGTCACTCTGAGGACCTGGTGTGAAGGCCAAAGTGATCAGGACACTCGGCTTCTTTCTGAACCCTCTGTGGTCATTTCCAGGACCCCTCACCTGTAGACAGAACAGTGTCGCTGACTCCACGTCCCTGGCAGTGGCAAGCTCATTCTCAATCACCAACTCTCCGCAGTGTTTCACCTCTCACGCATTTCCACATTAGGCCCACTTAGGAATCACGTGTTTAATCCAAACAGAATTAAAACAAATTACTAGGTACATCTAGGGCCAACCAAATGCTACTTGAAATCCTATCCTTTCATGAAGTTATCTGCCAGTCAGTATGATTAACTCATGCTCTTAACCATATCTAAGATTTCTGGATGTTTATAGGTTCAGCTGGAGGTCTAGGGCTGGTATGAAGCCTAAGACTCCCTAGCACAGGGCTCTCATGGAGGTGGCTTATCACTTCTTAAAAAAACCATCCTGATCCCCTGAAATTCATCTCTTATTTTTGATGTGATACTGTCACAATTTTTAATTTTTTTTTTCAGAAAGTTTTATTCCCACTGTATTTTTTAGACCCAAAAACGTTTACTTAAGGTGAACAAACAGCGTACACAAGTGCTGGAACTGCTTTTTCACTGAGACCCAAAAGGGACTGCCTAGCACAAGACTATACAATTACCACATTTATTGTTTTCCATGAATTTTTGTCAAGTTTGTTTATCTTACTGTTAATGCAATGATACTGCAATCCTTGAAAAAGAATTCTACTTGTGCTGAAGAACACATCTAGATAAAAATGGAAAACAGAGCTAGCTCTTCTTTGGGAAGGAAAACCAACTCGTGCTTTACAGGAGAACATGGCACTGCCTCTTTTCCCTTTATAGTGCCAGAGTGTTCCTGACCAAAGGCCTCCAGCCATTATCAACTTGTCATCTATTTTTTGATGTGATTTCTAGTTTCAGGACCCTGCTTTCCTCCTTCTTTCTTCCTCGTGCATCTAGTCACCGGTGGCTTCTGCTTTGGTCCTGTCACATTCAGTGTGGCCTGCTCCACCCCCACCCCCGGAGAGGTCACCGCAGTGACCACGAACCAGACAGGCAGGGTCATTTTCCACCCACAGGACCAGAGGGAGACCTCAAGGATCCACCCACTGCAGACAGGCACAAGGGAGATCTTATTCCAAATGATCTGGAAAGAAAGAGATACGCTCTCACTAGATAGCCAAGCCCTGGATATTATTTAAAGAACAAACAAAAAAATGTGTTTTGTGACTGGGATTTCTGATGATATAGTACACAAGTGGCAACATGTGACCTAATCAAATAGCTATATATGGCTTAGAAATTTACATATCTCAACAATTGACCTTGTCGTGTAAAGAAAAGAAGGAAACCAAGGTACAGTATTTGTGCTCTCTGGGAAACAATGGAGCAGACTGTCCCTATAGTTGTCTTCCAGCCAAAAAATTCTCCAGTTTAGATTCTACAAATGACTTTAATCTGATTTTAATATTCATTCATTTATCCAAACACTAAAAAATTCTTTAGGTGCCAGTATATACTGAATATATATATACATCCACCTTGATTAAAAAAAATAGTTTACAGATAACCAACCCACAAGCAAGTATAGATATACTTGCAAACTGCATATACTTTGGGAAAAAATTAAATGGATTCAGAGGCAGACAATAATCATGTGCATGCTCTTTAAATTTAACATTTAAATGAACATCTGAACAATTTATTTTTTTAAAAGTCTATGCTAGCCGTGGGAGTGTTGATACTCTTGGAGGTGGGGAGGTATAAGCAAAGGCCCTGAGAAGGGAAAGGGCAGAGCCTATTGAAAGGACAGAACATCATGGATGCAGACCTTTGCAGAGTGGAGAACATGATAGAATCAAAGGCTGTCCGAGTGTGAATGGGGGAATCTGGTCTGGCCACCCAGCCAGTTCTTAAATCCCCTTCACAACATTCCCTTGTACAACCAGCATGTACTTGAGTGTCTCTCGTGAGAGGGAAGAGAGTACCTTCTGAAGTATCCATGCCAATTTAGTTAAAAAATAAGAACTTGTTCCAATTTAATGAAACTGGAACTGAAATCATGAGTTATAGTTGCAACTCTGCACCCAAAGAAAATTTCAAGTTGAAAAGAAAGAAGCTGTATTTATCGTTCTTATTATGTGGGTGCCAAGGACAGACTGCAAGATTTTCCAGTTCATCATTCTTTTCAAAGGGGAAAAAAACTGGAGACAGATAAGATAGCTCCACACGTGTTCCACCACTTTTTCATGGTAGCAAAGTTCAGGCAGTGTCTCAGCAAACCAGTGAATGCACAGTAAGGTCATTTGTGCCCTTGCAGGACAGCCAGGTGTTTGGGCTGCATGGTGAGGTCCTTGGGGTGGGTACATCATGCAGAAGACTTGCACCAAATCCACCAATTTTACAGAAGTCCTTGATAATAAGCGTTGGTGTACACATAGTCAGTTATTGACCCGATTAAAGGAGCTGAATGGGATCTGGAAAGAACCTGCCAGTTATTTGCTGGTATTCTCCACACCACAAATAGTTTGAGGCGGACGTGAGTAATTATTTTTTCCAGAATACATAAAGAAGCCTAAATGTCCTGGTCTTAGGGAGATATTTCCAACTTCACAATCCACAGGAGATGTTCTTCAAGTCATCTATGAATTTTTTCTGTTGTGACCTGTTGAGCCACCCTACTTACAACTGCCTTCAAAGAATTTTGGCTCATCTTTCAAAGTTGTAATATTGGTAAGGGTGTGAAAAGTCAGAAAGTTGACCAAAATTAAATGCTAACCCACACAATGAAAATCTGTTTGGTAGCCAACGAATTATACCACAAAAACACAAGAAAAAACCTCCATTGAATTTCACTTCTCAGATGAAAATAATAGCCCAGAAATATCAAAGCAATGGACAAATAAATCCCCAAATCTTCAGAATATCTTTATAAATAAGGCTGGCAGGTAGAATATGATGCTCATATGGCACCTGGTTCTAGACCAAATGAAATAAAAATTTATAGACCAGTGCCAGAAATATCACACCAAATGTCTTAAGCCATTTCACGTGGATCACCTTTTAGATGTGCTTCATGTTAAAAGATAAGAAAGACTCACTAACATACTGGGGGAAGCAGCCAGCCCACCAGGGTTACTGGGGACGTCAGTGGGTTGGCCATATGTCAAGAGGGAATGAGAACAGGATGCCCTTAAGTTTCCCTGTTTTGAGCTGAGGTAGGACAACTCCAAGGAGTGGTCCGAAGAACCTCTTCTAGCCTTCTAAGACTTACGGAAGCAACATTTTCATGAGGGCTTCTGGCTCTGTCCAGCAGCAAGGAGAAATGGAACAGATCTTTCAGACCAGAGGCATCTGACTGCTGGCAGCAGGCTACAGACCATCTGGAGGGAACAGCCAACCCTGTGGGCAAGGACTGAAATCATAAGCCACAGGTTAGTCTTTGCCCTTTAGTCACCCTAGAAGCAACTGTATGGGGATAATCATCAAAGCTCTTATATCTGATTGTATGAGTATGTACACTCCCTGACAGAACAGTGCCTGGCACATGTAAGTACTCAGTAGATGTTATATTGTTACCAGTTTTTGTGGCTGCTCACATGTTGCCTTAACATATGTGTTCATATTTCTGCAGTTTATTACTGGTAACTGAAAGCAAATCGTTAAGAATTTTAAGCATCAGTTTCTTCCTCTATCAAACACAAAAACTAATGTTTCATAAGCTTTATGAAGATTAACAAGATAATGTCTTAGTCACTTTCCCATTACTAGGACAAAATACCCAAACCCACAATTTAAAGGAGGAGAGGTTTATTTGGCTCGCAGTTTCCAAGGGGTTCAGTCCACGGCTGGCTCCAAAGCAGAAATGCCTGGTAGAAGGGCCTGGCAGAAGAGAGCTGTTCAACCCACGGCAGTCAGGAAGCAGAGAACAGATGGAGGAGCTGGGGATAAGCGTACCCCTTTCAGGTCACGCCGCCAGCAACCCACCTCCAGCCAGACCCTATCTTCTAACAGCAGATTTGGCTGTGAACTCATTAGTGGATCCACCTACTGATGAGTGATCTAATCACCTTCCAAGCACATGAGACTTTGGGGGCTATTTTAGATTTAAACCATAGCAAATAATTAGCATAAAGCACAATGACAAGGCCTTGTATGCTGTTGGTGCTCAATAAATGGTACTTATCATTAAGTCCTGATGGCCTGGGATTTCAAAGTTTCTGCTCTGACAGATATTCCATATCTCTCCTGCTTGTGGCTATTGAGCACATGAGAAATAGCTCGTGCTACTGAGGGACTCAACATTTAATGTTATTTAACTTTAATTTATGCACAAATGGCTTGTAGTGAATGTATGGAGGCTCATAGACTGGGTTGTTCTGGCCTTCTCGTGTCCTCCCATATTCTTTCTATCCACCTCATTGCCTATTAGTTTCTCTACCAGGATTCTCCCAGGAGTAAAGAGAGGATAAAAGCCCAGGAATTGGCAGGTTGGCATCATGGCATAATAGAAAGAAGAAACATCAGTGATTCTAGAAAAGACCATTTCATACCCATAACTCTTGGGCAAATCATTTAATGCTGTCTTCAAAGCAGATGTTTGATACTAACATGACTTCAAAGGTCCTGCTCACTCTGTGATCACTATAGGAAGAAGGCCAAGAACCACTACCTGAATTTAGGTTATTTCTCAGGCACCATGGGTTGCATTTAGCTCTGTTAAGTGTCTTCCAGTTTAATGGTGAGTTATGTAAATGTTGGTAGAAAAACAAATACAAGTGAATAAGCACAGTTAAAAAAGAAACTGAGGGCTGGGGATTTAGCTCAGTGATTCTGCTGCCTGCCTCACAAGCGCAAGGTGCCAAGTTCGATCCCTAGTACCAAAAAAAAAGAAACTGAAACCAAAGAGAAATTAACCTTGGTACAAAGAAAAAGGATTTTGATGAGAAAGGACATATGTGTTTGAGGACAGAGTGCTCCTGCTGCACCACTGTGTGGATGCCATATGTGGCCTCGCAATCCTGTGGGTTACAGTGGAGAGGGCTAGGGAACAGTTGACTGATAAATGATAAAGATTGTGGGCACATTAAACCCTTAACATGATTCACTGTCTCCTGTTGTGTACAAAACCTACAGGAAATTCTGCAGAACAGGCTAGAATCCACCCTGGGTAGACACAGCAGGAAAGAGAAGGCACCCACAGACCCATGTCCATCCCTAACTCACTTGCTAACTTCTTGGGGCCACAACTGAATCATCATCACCATTCATTTAATTGTGCAGTGAGTTGGTTTGTTCTTACTCTTGCAAGCTTGGAAAATCTGGGCTTATGCTTAGAGCTCTGGAAATTTCAAAGATGCTTTTCTTTGCCAGGAGCCCAAAGTGTGAAAAATTACATCTAAACCAGGCAACAATCCTGACACACACACACACACACACACACACACACACACACCCTCTGTTAATCCTGCTAAAAGGGAGGCCACGCCTTATCTGATGTGACCCCCCATGGTCACCATCTGAAACAACATACAGGCCATAGGTGATGGGATCCATCTTGGTGATAAGCATAAATCTGATTGATTAGCCTTGCCAGTAACCTAAGAGTTTTTGAGATTTTTTACAGAGACAGAGCAAAGCAATGCTTCAAGCTACCAGGTTCTTGATTGTAGTAGTGCTGGTGGTGATGGTGGTGTGTGTGTGTGTGTATGTGTGTGTGTGTGTGTTAAAGCAAAGTAGGAAAACTCACCACCTGCTTCCATACATGGTGAAATATTGATACACACCATTGTCATTTAGAAGTAGGTGCTCTGATTGTTCGGAAACTCTGCCCCACCTCCTCGAATGCTGCCAAGGCCGCTCCATGATGAGCAGCCCCCCTACCTCCCCACTCCCCATTTCTTCTGGCTTTCCTCTCTATCTGTGTCAATTCTTTCCGGAGACTAGGGTCAGACTGCTCAGCAGTCCTCTTGCCTGGTCCTTGGATCTAACTTTAGCACTGGGTGTAGAGAACACTTGGGAGCGACTCCCCAGACACAAGCACCTGTCAGACCATCAGGTACCAGCTGGACCTCGAGCCCAACAACATCCGGATGCAAGTTAAGAGGCTGCCAAGCCAGCTGAATCCTTTCCTCATAGTCATTCTCTGCTGCTTCTTGTCCTGGCTGTCACCTTGGGCACACAGCGGGTCACTCTGCACACAAGAGCAATAATCGTCACTGCTGGTTTTACTTCCTGATGACAGCCTGTCCCACTGGCCACCCTAGTAGCAGAGGATTTTAAGCCTTTGTCAGGGTCCTTATGACTAAATTTATGGCTCTTTTCTTAGGTTGGCAGGTGCTGTGAGAGAGGAGAAAAGAGGTATGATTGGAGATTCAGTTTCTGTTTGGAAAACAAGGAAGTGGAAGAATTTATCCACAGTGGTTTTTTTCTGCTAAAAGTTCACAAAAGTTTTCAGGCACTGAGAAGAGGACCTCTCGCTGCTGCAAGCTTAGGTTTCTGGAATAGTAAGGCTAAAAGGGATCTGTAAGGTTATGGAAACATCTATTGGTAGGGCAGGAGACAGAGACAGTCAGACAGACAGACAGACAGACAGAGACATAGAGATTAAACAATGCCCAAGTCTACACCTCAGGTAGCAGTTCGTTGAGCTCTGAAGCTAAAGCCTAGATCTACTGCCTTTTCCAAATCCTCTCTCTCCTCTATCTTTCTTGATATTTAGTATTCTGGCTTTGCCTAGGAGATAAAGGAAGAAGAAAAAGAAAAGAAAACAAGATATCTTACAAAACAAAAACTGCTTTTTAGAGGACATGTGTGTCGGTGTGTGAGTATGTGTGTGTGTGTGTGCATGTGGTGCATCACAGGGCCATATATCTTTTTGAAATAAGCTAAATAAAATAATGTAAATGGTCTTCCCACTGAGTACATAAAGAATGTCAGTATTCTTTGCATATTCCTTAAGAACCTTTAAAATCAGCATGGGGACAAATGGCGCCCTTCACCACAGACACTGGGCCTCTGCCCTTCCCTGTATTTTCGAGATCATCACATTTCCCTGGGCTTCTCCCAGCTCTCCCCCAACCCTTCCCTTCTCCTGCCAAGTCGCCTCTTCCATTATTAGTCATCCTAATAAACACTGCTAATAAACACGAGCCCTATAAACCAATCCAGGATGCTACTGTTGGCTCCTATGCTGTCTTTAGGAAAGACTGATACCTGCATTAACTTTGTCAACTGTCCCGGAGAAACCCAGCTGGGATCTCTAAAATATACTGCTGAAAACCGTAATATAATGGACATATTTAGTGTACATTCTCCTGTGAGATGGAATTTGCATTCCTAAGTGAAGTAAAAATGCTTAATTATTAATAAGCCCCCCC